GACGTGTGGAAACTAGTGATGGAGGCAAACTGTTTTCAGAGGAACTAGACAGACTGATTTCTGGTGATTTAAATCTTCGGTACCCCAGCGTTAACCGCACTTGTTCTCCCTGTCTCTTCATAGGTTTCCTCCAGGTGCTCCGGTTTCCCCTAACACTCAACAGTGAATGTAGATAAGTGAGTGAACGGATGGTGTTTGGCCAGAGGCTTTTATGGTCCAGTGTGGAGAGAATGGTGGTAGTAGTAGTAGTAGTAGTAGTAGTAGCTTTCTGGGTGACCTTGGTCTATACAAATTGCGCTATACAGATAAATATTACTTACATACTTGCTTACCCCATCTCTGCTTTTCTACAACCGGATCAGTGTCTTACGACCTTCACAAAGCTCTCTACACGCACGCCGCTAATAAAAACATCCATCTTTATCAAGTCTCAGCAACGAGCCCCGGCTTTGAGCGATAGTGACTTAACAGTAATTCACCCGGGGAATCTCCAGCTTTCCTTAGCAACCGTCTTAGCAACGCATCCGCCCATATAAGGAACTTGGCAGATGCAAGGTTTGTGGTTGATATAGAGGCTGCAGGACTCAAAGAACTTGGGGAAAAGTAGTGGTTTATCTCAGTAATCAAGCTGCGCTAGCTCTGAGCAAACGCAGAGGACGGCAGTTTAGTCTGAGCTGCTGCTAGGAACAGACTCCTGCTGCTGCTGCTGCTGCTGCTGTTGCTGCTGCTGCTGCTGCTGCTGATGCTGCTGCTGCTGTAATGTGATTCAGAGGGCACAAAGTTAAGCCTCCGTTCGTGGAAAACTTGCAAATGTCCTGAGAAAATAATGGAGGTCAATGCTAATACTGCTGCTGCTGAGTGACAGGAGCTAAAAAGACCGTGGTGGAGCATTGGAATGATTTATTTTACTCCCAAACTGTTGATTGTGAGCTACGTTTAGCAGAAAAGGTCCAAACCACTCATCATTAACACCAGATAAACCCTTTAAAATACTACATCCTTCTTTATGACTTCAGCTGTAGTCTGTTCATTGTTATTCACCCGCTGTCCCATTGTCTGTTTTAAGGTGTGAGGATGTAACCCCTGAATCAGGCCTCTTTCATCTGCGCCTGAGCCTCAGGCTGAGTTTACACGGAGACAATGTGGCAGTAAAACGGTACAGTTGGATGTCGGTTTCTACCAACCGTTCACACGGAGACTGTGTTCCAGGGGGGTGAAAACGTAAGTGTTCAGATCCAGCCTGCAGAGTGGGACAGCTCAGAAACGCTGCACAGCGGGGGCTCTTTCACACCCGCGAGAGGGAAAAGGTGAAATCCCCCTCTGCTCTGACCCCCGCCTCCGCGCTGCTCCCCGCACGTAAATTTGGACATGCGCAGTAGCGGAGAACAAACATCAACAAAAAGGGCGGCGGTCGCACTAACTACCTTCGTGGGCTTCGAGCACAGCACAGAGGATAATTCTACTCCTTCGTTCGTCAAAACGAGACCACGCGAAGCTCTAGGTTCAGTTCCCATTTTCACAGCTGCTGTTAAAATGCAGATAGATGTTGGTACGTTCTGAGGGTCTGGCACAGGAAGTGAATATACTGCCGAGAGGGGGGCTGGGCACGGGGCTGGGGGTCGTGTTAGTGTTGTAAAGTTCCTCTGCCCCCTACTGGCCCGGGCGCTAGAACTACATCGTATTTCAACCTCATGTGAACGCTGAGAAATTTGCATTAGGAGCCAGGTCGTTTCTGTTAATAGCCTGGAAACGTCTGCGCAGCGTCTCAGTATAAACAGGGCCTCAATCCTGGGTCTACAGCCTCAGTCCTGGATCTACAGCCTCAGTCCTGGATCTACAGCCTCAGTCCTGGATCTACAGCCTCAGTCCTGGATCTACGGCCTCAGTCCTCCATATTTCCCAGTTTCCTGTGGGTGTCGCCCCCTGCTGGAAGTATTGTGAATAGAATTGTTATAGAAGCTCTTCCCGTGTCTAATCTTCAGTCTCCCCAGAGATCAGCTTTGTACCAGGGCTGAGATAAACCAGTGCAGTGATAGTGACTCAGTGTCAGGGGGAGGGGGGAGGGGGGAGGGGGCGAGGGGAGATGATTAGGGTTTAGTAAATATACCATATATACTGTGACGGCCCCCTCTGCTGGGCCTGTGGTGGCAGTGTTCATGACATTCTGAGATGATGGGAGGCAGCTGGGAAGTCATGTGACCTCCCGGATGCTTCAAAAAGCGGCTTCCCCTCTCTCTCTCTCGCTCTCTCACCTGGCTTCTGGGCACCTGCCGGCGTGCCCGGACTGCCGCTACCATTCTGGGCCCTGTTGGACCAGCCGCCACGCCACGCTTGTTTGTCCTTTCATTTACACGCACTACAACACAATATTTGCACTACAACGGTTGTCCTACTGACTTTCATATACAACACCTTGCACCCCACAGCATGCCATTCACTTACACTGATTTCATACAGATTCCTTTATTATTGTTTAAATAAATGCCCCACAGAGGGTTTAAAGTTCTCAGTTTGTCGTGTCCTCCCTCTCATGTTATGATCTCACGAGCCGGGCCGTAACAATACACAAAGAGATACAAGCAACAAGTCACATGACAGGTCAGTCCCTGTGCTCCTCAGAGTCCCAGCAGGAGGTCAGTCCCTGTGCTCCTCAGAGTCCCAGCAGGAGGTCAGTCCCTGTGCTCCTCAGAGTCCCAGCAGGAGGCCGGTCCCTGTGCACCTCAGAGTCCCAGCAGGAGGCCAGTCCCTGTGCTCCTCAGAGTCCCAGCAGGAGGTCAGTCCCTGTGCTCCTCAGAGTCCCAGCAGGAGGCCGGTCCCTGTGCTCCTCAGAGTCCCAGCAGGAGGCCGGTCCCTGTGAACAGTGAGTGTGAGGCAAGCCCGGTCTTCCAAGATGGCGCCATATTCAAATGAATGGTTTGAGCTCAGTGGCGCATGTGTTGGGCGCTCACATATTAGCGGGACTTGCCTATATTTGGGCATCGTCTGGTCCTCCCGGTTCTGAGCAGTGGACGAGCTCCCATGATGCTTAGTGCCAAATACGCGTGTGTGGCTCTCATGCACGTGCACAGAGGGGCTCGGCCACACTCTGACCAATCAGAGCAGAGTCAGAGCAGGAAGGAAACAAGCAGTTTGTGACAGTAAAGTGTGGATATACAGTAAAGAAAACCAAGGGATTAAAGAAGAAAAAAAGTTCAGGATGACACTAAAATCCCCACAGAATCCTCCTTTATGAAAGCTGTAGGTTCTCTGTCAGGTTCTCTGTCAGCTGAGGTCGAGCTGTTTTAGTTTACAGTGAGTTCTATGGGGAAAATGTCCGTGTAGCTCAAGTGAATGTAGTCTGGTTCAGTCTGGTTTAGTCTGCAGTACCACGAGAATCCCCCGAGCACATGGTTCTTCAGCTCCAAGCTAATAATACTCTATCCAGTTATTATAATAGATCCATGGTAATACTCTATCCAGTTATTATAATAGATCCATGGTATACTCTATTCAGTTATTATAATAGATCCATGGTAACACTCTATCCAGTTATTATAATAGATCCATGGTAACACTCTATCCAGTTATTATAATAGATCCATGGTAATACTCTATCCAGTTATTATAATAGATCCATGGTAATACTCTATCCAGTTATTATAATAGATCCATGGTAACACTCTATCCAGTTATTAAATAGATCCATGGTAACACTCTATCCAGTTATTATAATAGATCCATGGTAACACTCTATCCAGTTATTATAATAGATCCATGGTAATACTCTATCCAGTTATTATAATAGATCCATGGTAATACTCTATCCAGTTATTATAATAGATCCATGGTAACACTCTATCCAGTTATTATAATAGATCCATGGTAATACTCTATCCAGTTATTATAATAGATCCATGGTAACACTCTATCCAGTTATTATAATAGATCCATGGTAATACTCTATCCAGTTATTATAATAGATCCATGGTAACACTCTATCCAGTTATTATAATAGATCCATGGTAATACTCTATCCAGTTATTATAATAGATCCATGGTAATACTCTATCCAGTTATTATAATAGATCCATGGTAACACTCTATCCAGTTATTATAATAGATCCATGGTAACACTCTATCCAGTTATTATAATAGATCCATGGTAATACTCTATCCAGTTATTATAATAGATCCATGGTGTGAGGCTGGATTGCGGGACAGAGACAGTTTGTGGGATTAGATTGCAGTTTCACTGATGTTTGCTCTGAGGGAGACTGTCCTGAGACCAGCTCCACTCCCTGGACCAAACCCCACGGTACAGGCCCAGACTCGGCTCTCCTGCACACACCAAAGACCTTAGACTAATCACAGAGACCTCCTCGTGCAGCTCCCTGTGTGGCTCCTCCTGCTTCTTGCTCCACAGTCTGCCCTTGTTTTCACCTCGGAGCAAACATCTAAAAAACTGTAGAGACAAGAAGACGGTCTTTGGAAGCACAAACCAACGCAGCGTCACTCATGTGTGAATAAAGTAGAGTCCGGCCTCTTCCACCCTCCAGGTGTGCCAAAATGCCTGCTCAAAGTGACAGAATAATCCATGTGCCAGATTATAAACCGGGATTGTCAGAGAACGGCCTCTTGAACACAGAAGATGTTTCAGAAAGCTACAGCCTTTTATCTTTGAAGCTGACCGTGTAAAAACATGGAGCAGGAGTGTGTGGGTGTGTGTGTGTGTGTGTGTGTGTGTGTGCGTGTGTGTGTGTGTGTGTGTGCGTGTGTGTGTGTGTGTGCGTGCGTCTCTCTGTTTATATTTGTGTGTCTCACTGTGTGTGTCTCTGTGTATATGGGTGTGTATATGTGTGTGTGTCTCTGTGTGTGTGTGTATATGTGTGTGTGTGTTTGTGTGTGTGTCTCTGGGTGTGTGTGTTTGTGTGTGTGTGTCTCATCAGTGCAGTGGACTCTGCTCCTGAAGCATCCATCACATCGTGCTCTAGAGGACGCCACTTAAACCATGATGGAAACACATGTACCACAGAGCAGAGCACAGAGCAGAACACAGAGCAGAGCACAGAGCAGAACACAGAGCACAGAGCAGAGCACAGAGCAGAACACAGAGCAGAGCACAGCACAGAGCAGAGCACAGAGCAGAACACAGCAGAACACAGAGCAGAGCACAGAGCAGAACAGAGCAGAACACAGAGCAGAGCACAGAGCAGAGCAGAGCACAGAGCAGAGCACAGAGCAGAACACAGAGCAGAACACAGCAGAACACAGAGCAGAGCACAGAGCAGAACACAGCAGAACACAGAGCAGAGCACAGAGCAGAACACAGCAGAACACAGAGCAGAGCACAGAGCAGAACAGAGCAGAACACAGAGCAGAGCACAGAGCAGAGCACAGAGCAGAACACAGAGCACAGCACAGAGCAGAGCACAGAGCAGAACACAGAGCAGAACACAGCAGAACACAGAGCAGAGCACAGAGCAGAACACAGCAGAACACAGAGCAGAACACAGAGCAGAACACAGCAGAACACAGAGCAGAGCACAGAGCAGAACACAGCAGAACACAGAGCAGGTGTGTTTGTAGAGCACAGTTCATAGACAAAGTGCTGAATGAAACCAGAGAGAGTCACAAATAAAATCCTTCAGTTGTTGCAGAAACAGAACTGTTTTAACTGGATCTGAACTTTGTCAGAGAAGAACATTTTCAGTGATTTAAAAACAGCTGTTTTGAGCTCGTTTAGAGAGACCAGTGAGAGGCGCTGCAGAAGTCTGAAGGATTAGAGCCGTTTCTCTCTCAGTGAAAACCTTCTGGGTTTGAGTCTTCTCCAGGTCCTTCTCACGTGACAGAGGTCAGAGATACCAGAAAGTGAAGGATCTGAGACATATTATAGAGCTACATTTGTGGTTTTGAAGTAAAGAACTCCGTCTGTATTTGTTTTACAGTTTCAAGATACACGTTTAAAAACAGTGTCAATAGCACTTTATTTATCCCTGTAGGACTTTTCCTCCTCTGCATGTGCTCCTGAGGCCAGCAGGTCTGTCAGGAGCAGAGGGCGCATTCTCGGCTCGGTCAGGACCAGGGATTTGAACCCAGGACCTTAATGCAGAGAAGCGAGAGAGCTAACCACTCAGCCACTGGATATTTCCCCTTTTACATCTGACACAGTGCATCCAACTACATCTGCACAGATCGTCCTGTGTTTCTCCATTGAGGCGTTTCCTTTGGACATGAATCATTTTTGGGCAGAGACCGGAATGAAGTCACTGAAAAGTCCCCAAAGTGAAGCAGACAGAGGGAAAACAGCAGGAGCAGCAGCAGCAGCAGCAGCAGCAGTGACACAGTAGTATTTATTATATGTCAAGACCCATCGTTTCAAATAACCGATGCCGTGTTCACAGTCCATAGAACAGCTCAGTCACAGAACCTACTACTGCTGCCACTCAGTCTGGTCTGTCTCTGGTCTTTCTCTGGTCTCACTTTCTCTCTCTCTCTGGTCTATCTCTTTCTCTCTCTGGTCTCTCTCTCTCTGCTGTTACTTCAGCAGTAGCAGCAGCAGCAGCAGTAGTGTGTCCTGTTTCGGAGACTGTGAGCTGCTCTATAATGGGTTTTGAAAGGGGAATGGTGTGACCTGTCTGTGTACGAAAGAGGATGGAGGGATGGAGGGGAGGGAGGATGGAGGGAGGATGGAGGGAGGATGGAGGGAGGAGGAGGCAGATAACGTCCGTGGTGAAAAGCCTCTGACAGACTCGACACATTGGGCACAAAGCTCTAACCCGGCGTCACAAATGTTGAGCAGCAGATTATATTAGCTCAATCTGGACCAATCCTAATCCCATTCCCACAAATTAATTAACACGTGAATGCATCAAACGGCTTCTTAGTCGAGGATTGAAATATTTATATGTGCGCCCGGAGGATTGGGAATGAATTTAACTCCATGATTCTCTTACGACTGATTTAAAGCTGGGGTACGTAACTTTCAAACCAGAACAATGTAAAGTTATAGAATTTAGGTTTATATCACGACTTTCTACAGCTTTTTCAAACGGAAAAGGGACCACCCTCATTCAGCCAATCAGCTCTCAGCCCAAAAAGTCCAATAGTGACTCACCAGGATCTTTCCTAATGACTTCAGACCATGATCTACAGCCTCAGTCCTGGGTCTACAGCCTCAGTCCTGGGTCTACAGCCTCAGTCCTGGATCTACAGCCTCAGTCCTGGATCTACAGCCTCAGTCCTGGATCTGCAGCCTCAGTCCTGGGTCTACAGCCTCAGTCCTGGGTCTACAGCCTCAGTCCTGGATCTGCAGCCTCAGTCCTGGATCTGCAGCCTCAGTCCTGGATCTACAGCCTCAGTCCTGGGTCTACGGCCTCAGTCCTGGGTCTACAGCCTCAGTCCTGGATCTACAGCCTCAGTCCTGGGTCTACGGCCTCAGTCCTGGGTCTACAGCCTCAGTCCTGGGTCTACAGCCTCAGTCCTGGGTCTACAGCCTCAGTCCTGGGTCTACAGCCTCAGTCCTGGGTCTACAGCCTCAGTCCTGGATCTACAGCCTGTCACAAACACATTGAATTGAATCATTTGGACTATAGAAACCTTATAGAAACCGACTCTTTCCTTCCGTCTGTGTGTAAACCATAAAAGCGTTGCATTCTCCAGAACCATGTGGAGATTTATGGTGTGGTTATTGTTACAGTGATAATCAATCCACAGACACGGCACCTGCAGAGCACACGGCTAAATATAGAACCTGAAAACTCATGCTTCAGCAGAATGTGGAGGTGCCATTCACCGCGGGTTTACAGCAGACCAGGAATCACACACTATGAACAGAAGGAGACCGCGCCCTCTGGTCTCACACTGTCACCCTCACCTGCTGCTTTTAGTCTCGCAACAATCTCACAAATCCCCAACTGGTGTCTGCAGATCAACGAGAGAAACACAAGAGAACCATATGTTGGACGATCGCGGCCTCTCTCTGGTCTCTCACTCTGGTGTCACTCTGGTGTCACTCTGGTCTCACTCTCTGGTCTCACTCTCTGGTCTCACTCTCTGGTCTCACTCTCTGGTCTCACTCTCTGGTCTCACTCTCTGGTCTCTCACTCTGGTCTCTCACTCTGGCCTCTCACTCTGGTCTCTCACTCTGGTCTCTCACTCTGGTCTCTCACTCTGGTCTCTCACTCTGGTCTCTCACTCTGGTCTCTCTTTGGTTTCACTCTCTGGTCTCTCTCTGGTCTCTCACTCTCTGGTCTCTCTCTGGTCTCTCACTCTGGCGTCACTCTGGTCTCACACTCTGGTCTCACACTCTGGTCGCACACTCTGGTCTCACACTCTGGTCTCACACTCTGGTCTCACACTCTGGTCTCACACTCTGGTCTCACACTCTGGTCTCACACTCTGGTCTCACACTCTGGTCTCACACTCTGGTCTCACTCTCTGGTCTCACACTCTGGTCTCACACTCTGGTCTCACACTCTGGTCTCACACTCTGGTCTCACACTCTGGTCTCACACTCTGGTCTCACTCTCTGGTCTCACTCTCTGGTCTCACTCTCTGGTCTCACTCTGGTCTCTCACTCTGGTCTCTCACTCTGGTCTCTCACTCTGGTCTCTCTCTGGTTTCACTCTGGTCTCACTCTCTGGTATCTCACTCTCTGGTATCTCACTCTCTGGTCTCACTCTGGTCTCACTCCGGTCTCACTCCGGTCTCACTCCGGTCTCTCTCTCTGGTCTCTCACTCTGGTCTCTCACTCTGGTCTCTCACTCTGGTCTCTCACTCTGGTCTCTCACTCTGGTCTCACTTTCTGGTCTCTCACTCTGGTCTCTCTCTGGTCTCTCACTCTGGTGTCACTCTGGTGTCACTCTGGTGTCACTCTGGTCTCACTGAATGAATTAATTAATTACTAATTTAAACTAAATCATAATTTGTCACATGGTGTATGTTCCGGAACCTCTCTGGATTCTAGCTTTGGATTCATCCGACAGTCGCACACACACACATCTACCCATGTGTGTGTGTGTGTGTGTGCGCGTGTGCGTGTTTGTACGTGTGTGTCTGTGTGTGTGTGTACACAAGTGTGTGTGTACGTGTGTTTGTTTGTACGTGTGTGTATGTGTCTGTATGTGTATCTGTGTGTACATGTATATGTGTGTGTGTGTTGTGATGGCAAGCGGCCTAGACTCGGGGACGCCAACTCACCCCCCCTGCTGCTCTATTCAATTAAACCTGCAGGAAGGAGCCGGGCTTCCCCCCGCACCTACAGACAATGACTGTCTCACCCTTGTCCCTTTTGCATCTTGCATCTGTATGTCTGCATCTCTACATCTTGCATGTCCATTGTCTCTCTGTTTGCATCTCTATGGCACGGTCTGATTGCCTCCCCCCGGACTAGGCGCCTCGCCTCTGGATGCGCCTCCTGTACTGGTGACCCCCTCCCATCTTTTGTGGGCGTGACTGTCTTTCATGTGTTGTCTATGTAAACAGGAACTGGTCTGGCCGCGTGAGAGCTTATGGACGCTGCTTGGTGTATGTGAGCTCTCCGCACGTGTGTACAATAAACTTACGCTCCTGATTAAGACAAATACTTTTGAGCTTTCTCCTTCATTGGGGTATGTAATTCTACAACAATTTGGCGTTGCTGGCATGTCTTGGCATGGGATCTTTTCGGCGGGGACGAGCGGCTGCGTTTGGCCGACCTGGAACAACACCAGCCTCTGCTCTATTTGGAGACAAAGGGAGGGCGCGCTCGTCCTGCGCGTGAACAGAATCTTTGGCCACACAAGACCAAAAAGAACCTGATTTGGTGAGTTTTGTCTTTTCATTTGCGTAACAAGCCCAGGGCAGCACTTAAGTGTACACGGGGTTTTGATTTATTTACGTATTTTTTGGGGTATTTCATTCATTGCCACAGCATAGACTCTGTGCGGGATTTTTTGGGGTATTTTGTTCTAGATTGAAGCTAGCGGCTGCGTGTTAGTATCGCTCAGTAAGCGACCCTGAAGATTATCTCTAGTGCCTTCAGCCAGGCCCGCTCCGTTTCAAGAACGCGCGCTCGTTGGGTATATAGAACCCACGGGGGGGGAACAGAGCGCTCCAAAGTGGGTAAGAGCAGGGAGAGACTAAACGGGTTAGGTCCATTGTTCTGTACGAGAAAATGGGGAAAAATCAATCTAGAGATGCCACACCGAGGGGAATGTTAACGTCCCCCGTTACAATGGCAATGGAAAAACGGTTCGAATCTAAAGCTATGGAGTGCTTGCCTACATGGTGCAGTTCATTTGGCTTTTCCGATAGAGGCTATATGTCTCTGAATCAATTACGCATCTTGCGTGATAATTTAGAAGAAGAAAGGAAAAAAAAAATATACTTGGTTTTAAGAATATCACGGCAAAAGACGTTAGAGAAAGAAATATGTAAAAACAATAGCTCCTCCGCTTTTCACCGAAGCGGAGAACACACAGGCGGACACACACACACACACACACACACATCCCACACACCCCCACCCTACCGCCCTCTCTCACCTACTAACCCTTTCACACAAGGAGCAGAACTCCATGCTAAGTACGCGCCCAAACAAGGCGTTGGGTTTTTTAAAAAA